TTATTGATGCCAGTAGCTACAGATTGCTGACCTTAATTCTCTGCAGATTTTATACACAGAGATAGGAAAAACTGAAAGCCAAATTTCCTCTAGCAGTGATCAAGTAGCACAGGGGTTGTAGATATGGAATAGTTATCCAGTGCTGAAGTGTATCTTACCTGATTCTTTTCTTGTTGCTTTATGAAGGAGGCAAAAATAATCAGTTGGAATGCTGATAAAAAGCAGATCGAGCTCGAGATCCTTTCAGCACCATCAGGACAAAGTACGTACCCTGGGACACCAAAGGCTTCTTGTCATGTGCATCACTTGGAAAACAGCTCATGTTTCAGGAGTATTCCCAATTTCCTTGGGTTCATTCTCAACACACCCCTTCCCTCCTCATTCCCTCCCCAAAAAGTCTCTTTAAATGGAGGAGTTCTGACCCTTGCTAGTTGAACTGAAGATGCTCGTGGGCATTTACAGAAGTGAATTTCTTCAATCAGTATGAGTGCTCAGTAACTCACCTGTAGTGTGGCTTCATTTTCTGACAAAAACTGAAATCAGTATGTGGAATTACAGAGAAGATGTGAGACCATAATGCCATTCTTTGCAACATCAGTGAAGCCACTGCCTTCAGTGGATGTGGAACTGAGTCCCTGCAATGACAAGGTGCAGTTCCTGAGACCTCAAACAAGGAATGTTTCTGAAACTGAGTGTGTGTCCTGCAGTTGCCATTGAAGCCAGAATTAATGAATTGTCATATGGATATTTTTCTCAAAATTAAGCAACATATTGTTACCTTTTTGGTACATGTAGTCACATGAGTCACCTTAAATTTGGTGTGTAGTATTCAGCTCTACCTCAGATTTTTTTTCGTTAGAATTACAAGCCCAGACACACAACTGTAAAACAAACAGAACAAAACTGGGGTTTGAGGTAAACATTTAAACTTTTTTTGTTGTTGTTTATAGTTAATTGAGTTGTTTGTTTGTTTTTAAGTTGCTAAGGAGCCGGGGAAATTCGATCTGGTTTACCAGTCTGCAGATGGAGCAGAGCTGATCGAGTACGCTGTCCCTCAGGACACCAAGGTACGTGGGTCCTGCTTTGAATCCTGTTCTCAGTTTTGCATAGCTGATACCTGCCCTGCTTTATGGCCCTGTGCATCTCAGGGAGATTCCCTTCATAATAATGGGAGTAATCTGATTAAAATAAATGGAAGCAAAAATAAATGTCCCTTCCTAGCAAGAACGTGCATGATCACAAGGTAAGAATCACTTCTTGCATATTCCTCAATTAAATGGGGTCAAAGCCAGTCATCTAATTAAATTTTTGTTTTGGCTAATAAAATAAACATCATGTCTCACAGAGTATCCATTCTTTCAAGCTTATTGATTTCATGCACTGTTGTTCTTACCTGCATCTTCCCTTACCCAGGATGTCAGGCAGGTTGAGGTTCATCAAGAGGATCAATGAATCACAGGAATGAGTCTTTGTTCAGGCCTAGACAAAGAGTAATGACAGAGAAACTGCATCTGCTGGTGTAGCTGGTACCTGCTAAGTGTTGTCTGTGCTTTGTTTTCAGATAACTGAAAGCTGGGATGCCCTGATAGAGCCAAGACTGATTGTTGAGCCTCCAGTCAATGGATCCAACGTTGAAAATGGAACCATCTAAAGTGTGAAAAAATGTACATAATTGTACAGACTTGTTTTGTGAAATGCTGCCTTCTGGTTCTGAGGGTGGCAGGTGCACTGGTGGATATTGTTAATAAATTGTTTTAAAAAGAAGTATGCCAAAAGAAAACCACTTTTTTTTTCCTTAGTGTGTGTTTTTACACAGTACAGGAAGACTTTGTTTAGTCTAATACAGGTCTGTTGGGGTTTTTTTCTTAATATTTATATCCTACTGCTGTGAGCTGCAGAACTGGAATGGTTTGATCAGAAGATAAAATACAACTTTGTACTGTCAGTAACTTATTGAAATGTCTGGGTTTGGCTAGAACCATATAACTGTCATACAGAGGTCGTTTTTATTTAAAAATTAAATATTGTTGATATGCACACCTCCTCCTCTGCTGCTGCTGAACATCATACAAATGCCATGAGTTTGCAGTTACTTACAGAGTTCATCTGAACATGTCCAGAAATCCATGTGGATTTCAAGCTTCTGTAATTTTGAGGCATATAAATAGTAGTGGTAACTCAACCTTGCTTAGAACCCGTGGAAAATAACACAAATCCCCAGCAAAATTGTGCCCCATTGTGTTAATCTGTGTAGGCTCTGAAAACCCTTTTGTTTGTTTGTTTTAGATCAAACCCTTTTGCTCTGTAAGAGCTGTGCTACCTTTCTTCTTTCCTTCCCAGCAGCACAGTGGGTCACTGGGTGCTGGCAATGTGCTGCACTGACAGCTCTGATAATTATTAACATTGAGGGGACACCTTGTACCTCTGTTGACCTGGCAAGTCTTACACTTCCAGAAAATCCCTGTCCTGGGTAGTTGACTCTTAGAGGGAAGACATGGAAAAAACCCAAAAACTCTAGATACAAACAAACACCTGAGAAACTGTACCTGGTGTTTTGTTAATATGTGCTCTGACCAGTGCATGATTACATTAAAATACTGCACATCTTTCCATTAGCCCTATTAAAATGTCTTGTTTGTGAAGGAATCATTTTTATACAAGTAAAACTGATTTGTGTATTGTGGTTCTCTTTAGTTGCCATTATTTCATGCTAGAATTTGGGTTTTTTAGAGAAATGAACAGTTAGATTCATGTGTGGCTGTTCTTGCAAACTGGACCAGGATGCCAGACACTAGCACAGTGATGCTGAGACAGTGGGGATTAATGGAAAGATTGTTTTTCTAAGGGAAATTGCTCATTTTTAATTCTTAAGAAATTGTAAAAGCTAAGTGCAAGTATTTCACAGCACTGTTAGAGCAGGACTTGCCTCTTGTTCCACTGCCTACAGTGTATTTTGGCCATGTAGTTCAGGATCACAGGAAGTTCTCAAGTAATTTCAAGGAAGCAAAGAGAGCAGTAACTTCATTAGCTATGCAAATGGTAATTAATTTTTAATGTTAAAACGTTGTCTTTTAGACAAAAGGAGTGATTTGGCTTCCTCAAAACCAGAATTTCAAGCCCTCTTTGACAATGGGGAACTTAAATTGCTCATCTGAGCTCTAAACATCCTGTGCTGTGCTCCAGAAGCAAAAGCTACAGTTGTGAGGGCATATATTTACCCTTTTTATTTGCATACCTTTGTATCAGTAGATACCAGATGAGTGCTGCAGAAGGTACTGAGCCTTTGAAAGATGACAATGGCTTGGTCCAGGTAAGCCCAAGGAGTTCATTCACTGTAGAAAAATAAAAAATGTAAACATTAAGAGCTGCTCCTTGGTCCAGTCAGCAGTAACATGTGCACAACACAGCTCTCTAAGAATGTTCCTTTGCAGTCCCTGTCAGCCACCACCTCTCAGGTTCCCCCAGGTGTTTGCATTTCCTCTGACAGCAGTTACAAAGTCCTGATCAGCCCATCCCCACCGTGCTGTAAATGCATGGCACCGTGCCCATCTCCTCGAAACTCCTCCACCCTCCGGCATATGAGAGACTTTGTCCCTGAAGGTTTGCTCCTGTCACAGCCTTGCAGCTCCAAATGCCTCCTCTTGTCCTTTCTGCACCTGTACCTGTCACTAAGCAGTGACTCAGAGCCCTGGGCAGCTTATCCTGAAGGGGTATTGCAAGACTGGAGTGATAACTGATGTAGGTAGAGGTCCACGTTAATCTCTATAATGTAGGTTTGCAACGACCATCCAGATTTAATTCAGTCTTACAAAAGAAATTACTAGGAATTCATTTCAACTGTAACAGATGACCCACCATTGCCTCTTTTGAGTGCTTTATACAATTCATGAACATTTTTAGAAGCCCCTAAGGTATAGTGACTACACGATTGCATGCTAATACTTTTTAATGACATTAAAAGGAACCTCAGCAGTTCTCCATACAAAGTGTCCTTTGCCCACTGGACAAGAGGAGAGAGCAGACAGCTCCTTGTGCTGCAGACCACCAGGCTCTGTTTAAATTGCTGGGGGCCCACAGAATTTGTGCCAGGCTGCTCTGTTTCATCCATGCTGCCAGTGTGGGTGGAGAAGTACAGAGAGCCCTGAGCAAGACCCTGGGTCACCAACAGATAGGGCAGAAGAAGGAGGAGTAAGAATTTGGAATCAGGTTAGTTAAAACGGGAGTAGTTGCACCTGTTGCTATTCAGCATCAATGTTCCTGTTAGAAACAGCGATTATTCAACAGTTAGACTGAGGAAAAGAAAAAAAAAATCGAGGAAATACCTTCTGTTGTGATGGCTTCCACATTCACAGCGCGGTAACCCGTGCTTTAAAAATGCTGGATCGACATCAGCTGTTGGAACCAGGCGATGTTTAAGGTCCTTTCCAACCCAAACCGCTCTACAAGTCTGTTTGGTCTTCAACAGCCAGGTTACCCATAGCTCAGAGCAGCCGGGATTTGGGATTCATCCCTTCCCTGAGCCCCAAGCAGGAGCTCGCGGGTTGTGACCGGACTGCGCTGGGGTGTCCCGCGTTCCCTTTGTGCGGGTTCTGGGACGGGAGCGGGGCTGCGGGGAGCTATGAGGGGCTGCGGGGAGCTATGAGGGGCTGCGGGGGGCTATGGGGGCTGCAGGGGGCTACGGGGCCGGCAGCCCGGGTGGGCACCACACCCGACATCACCCACTGCGTTTTAGAAACCAAACCCGAGGTCTCCGGACGGGGTGTGACGCTGCCCCGACCCCCCGCCCCGCAGCCCCTCGACCCGGTCCACCCGCGGCCCCGGTGCGTGGAGGGGTGTGAATTCAGCCCGGAGGTCCCGGTGCTCCCCCGTGCCCATCCCGGGGCAGAGTCCGCAGTACCCCGGGCTGCCCGGTCCGGGGGACGGGCAGGTGCTGCCGGGGCTGTCACAGTGCTGCCGCCCCTCCCATCGGGCGGGGACGGGACACGCAGTTTTCAGGAAAGCCCCGGCCCCAGTTTCGTTTTTTCCAGACCCAGTTTCGTTTCTCCATCCCCAGTTTCATTTCTGGCTGTTCGGAGCAGCGGCGGACGCGGCGATGGCGACGCTGGAGCCGGAGCTGAGCCTGGCGGGGCTGGAGGAGGAACTGACCTGCTGCATCTGCCTCTGCCTCTTCAGCAGCCCCGTGACGGTGCCCTGCGGCCACAACTTCTGCGCCGCCTGCCTGGAGCTCAGCTGGGCCGGGCTGTCGGAGGGGTTCAGCTGCCCCCAATGCCGCACCACCTTCGCGGGCCGCCCGAAGCTGCAGAAGAACACGGTGCTGTGCCGGGTGGTGGAGCAGCTCCAGGGCCGCGCTGGGGCCGGGGGTGAGGAGCAGCAGGAGGATGGAGGAGCGGCAAAGTGCGAGGCGGAGGAGCCCCCCGTGTACTGCGACAGCTGCCGGGAGGCGCCGGCCGTGCAGACCTGCCTGACCTGCACCGCGTCCTTCTGCGCCGAGCACCTGCGGCCGCACCGCGACAGCCCCGCGTTCCGCGACCACCAGCTCTGCCCGCCCCTGCGAGACCTCCAGTACCGCAAATGCCCCTCGCACAACCGGCTCTTCGAGTTCTTCTGCAGCAATCACGGCACCTGCATCTGCTCCCTCTGCCTGCTCGGGCACAAGGTGTGCCACACCAGCGCCTTGGAGCAAGCTAAAGCCAATGCCCAGGTGAGCAGCTGCGGGGGGCTGGAACATCCTCCCAGGGACACCCTCGAGCCTCCCTTCGCTCCTTCAGGGAGGGCAAGGGGGAGGCTGGACCAAGACTTGGATTGTAAATCTCGCATCTGGCCTTGGCAGACTGTTATCTCCCTCCCAGGCACATCTTCAGATTGATTCCTTGTGTTTTCCTCCTCTCTCCAAGATGTTGCTCAAGGGCCAGGGTTCTGGGAAGGCGCTGTCATGGGGCTGATTGCCAGCTCCTGGGCTGGGCTGGGCTGGGCTGGGCTGACCAGCGAGGTCTCCCACACTCCTGGTGTCATCCAGAACTCCAAGCCTCCTCTGGTGCCAGGGCTCACTGCGTGGCCTTCTCACAGGCTGACCCGAGGGGCTGTGGACAGACATTGCCCTGTGTATGTTTTTAAGACTCAAAGAATTATAAAAGTAGCCTAGGGAGATCTCCAGCACATAGGAAGTGCTCTTCTCCAGCCAGAAGGAGATTCACAGAGTGGAAGCCTGGCCTTCATATCTTACAGTGCAGCTGAAAATTGGAGGGTAGTTGAGTAAAGCATGCTTGAAAAGTTCAGGTGGCCAAACTCCCATCTATTTAGTGAGTGTGTGTACAGCTTTCCTGCAGAACTCATCCCTGACTGAGCTTAGCAGCATCTTGAGCTAAAGGAACAGGGAACTCACATCCGAGTGATAAAATTCTCAAAATGAGAGGGGTGAACAGTAGCATTAACTTTGTGCCCAAAGCCCAGCCTGAGAGCTAACATTTATTCTTAGCGTGTGAACTGCTGAAAGCACTCGGTTTTTAACAAGAGAGTGAGTCAACAGTGTGCATCTTGCTTCTGGGAGAGGTGGAGCTGCAGGGAGGGTGTGGGTGCCACAAGGCACACGTATGCAGGACAGTACTTCTACATCCTGGAAGGTTTCAGGAGATATAGGTTTTAAACTGCTGGTACTAAATGCTTACAAGGTTATTTAAAACTTTCTGTGAACATGATTCTCATTCAGTGAGTGTGACCCAATGCAACTGCTTCTCTGACATAATTTCTGATCTCTCCTATTGCAGGTGATGCTGAAGAAGAAACTCATGATGCTGAATAATCAGACTGAAAGAGCTGCTCAGGCAATGAGCACTGTGAAAAACAACCAAAGCCAATCTGCTGTAAGTGGGTAACTGTTCAAAGTGCTGTCGGGTTGCTTGGCACACGCTGGCCACTGTGTGGTGTTGGTGATTGTGCCCTTGTGACAACGGCTGTAGTACTGAGATTGAATTGGCAGGAGAAGATGTTATTAGGAAGGAACAGAAAAGAGGCATTTTGACAGGGCCAGGCAGCTCTGTGGGATGTGGGAGTAAACCAGGCACTATGTGTTTAATGCCCCCATTCCTTGTGAAGCAGTTTTCTTTGCAAACTACATAGAAATACTCAGCTCTTCTATTTCCTGTTTCAAGTAAGAGAAGCCTAAATGTTCCTCAAAGGTTTTTGTGCAGTAGCAGTAAGAGTAATTTGTTCACAAACTGTTCTTTTGAAACCAGTGTCTGTCTGCTCTTGTCTGCTCCAGGAGACAGCTTCCAGAAAGAAGGATTTGATCAGAAGTGAGTTTTCAGAAATTAAAGCTATAATTGAAGAAAGAGAAAATGAGATCATGAAAGCAATTGCAGATGAAGAAAAGAGAGTTTGGAACAAATTTGATTATATTTACGGTGTTCTGGGAAATAAGAAGAATGAAATTCAGTCTCTCAGAGATCAGATTGAGACGGCGCTGACTGAAAGCGATGATGTTCTGTTTATGAAGGTATTATGTCCTTTAAATGTGAATCCAATTCTTCATGTTTCTAGAATGCAGAATCACAAAAACCTGCTGTGGTCATCCCGCTCTCCAGACACTTTCAGTCAAATGGCATTGCAGTTGTATGCAAGAACCTGCTGTGAAAGGATGTACCAATGAGTACACAAATATCAATGAAAGAACACTGAAATGGTGTCTGAAACTCCCCCAGTTCAGCCATTACCTCTGCCACAAACAGAGGGGCCAGCGGGCGAGAGAACTCATCTTCATGAGGTGCTGCAGTTCTGTCCAGATCCTTCTCATTGTTTCAGATATCAGTTGGGAATTAAGGCATGTGGGCTGCTGCTGAAATTTTGCCATGGGTTGTGTCCAACTGTAGCCTTTGTGCCATTTAAAATAACTTGGTTATATTTTAACGTATGTGCTGCGCAAGGTGGTCTGCCCAAATCTTCCATCTGTCATTTCAGAGAGCAGTAGCACTGCAACGAGCATCACCAAAAGAGGCTTTCGTTCCTGTGGTTGAAATGGACCAAAATGTGATGAATTCCACTTATAAGTTTGCCGTTAACCTCAAACAAATACTGAAAGTTGCAGTGGTTCAGTATAAGGAGAGAAAAGCAGAAGGTACTGTGTCATTGAGAAAGCTGGCATTTTCTGCTTTGGCTGTGAGCTCAAATGAGGGATCTTCCCTCTCCAAATATAATTGAAAAAAGAGTGCAGCGAGTACAGTTGGTTAATATAAATTGCATCTTCCAACCTCTGCAGTCCTCCATTTCCACACAAAACCATCACAGTCTGGGCTAAATTAGGAGACAAAACATGCCAGTGTCTCTTCACTGTTATCTGTAATCAGATAAGTTGATGAGTATCATGATCCTACACCCTTCTGGCACAGCTCAGCCTTTCTTCCTTGGAGTAATTTATGGTGTCATTATGTAGCAGGCTTGGATGTGGTTAGGACATGGATTTGAGGGGAGACGTGAAACTCTTTAGAGTGACAGAACTTGGGTTACCCAACTGTCAAGGTGCTGATTGTGTCCTACTTACTGGGTTAAGCAAAACTGTCTTTTGGACTGGGGCATGGGGATGCACTTTCCATCTCTGCTGAGTGTCCCTTCAGTTCTATTCACATAACTGATAAATGAGACTGAAAAACGTCCTCACTAATGCCTTTCTTTGTAGTTACTGTGCATTTCTGTGTACTGTCAATACCAACCATAATGTAAAATATTGCCATTGCAGCCACACCTGGGAAAACTATGGGCCCTCCAGTGGCTCCTAGAGACAAAACCCCTGTTGGAAGAAGGCCTCATGAACGACGTAAGTACTAAAGAAATCATCCTCTCCTAATTATGGTTTTACAAATAAATAAGAGTTCAAGCAGTTACCCAAGAGCTGTTTGCTGTAGTGGTGATGCAGTGATTATCTGTATGAGCACCTTGGCACGGGAAAGGGAGGGTGCTTTGGGATATTTAGTGATGGATGCCTTGTGAGCTGGAAGGCAGTGAACTGCACAGGTACAGTGGTGCATCAGCCTGTAGTGGTGTCAGCGTGGGCTGTAAAGCAAAGCAGAGCTTCCCCACCCTCTGGTTCTTTCAGGGTTTTTTAATTTGTACCAAACACCTCTTGGCTTATTTGATGGATTTGTACGTACTGAATTCTGCTTATGGGCTGTTCATGTTCTGCTGTTTTAGGTGCTCTCTCACGAGAGCGTGTCCTTGAAGAGAAAACCCCTTCCCACACTCCTGCCACTCCGCAGGTGAAGGAAAATACCAGTAAGTGGTGATTAAAAGAGCCTTACTCAAACATTTTGCTGGCCACATCTTGCCTACAGTGTAGGGCTGGGGTGATGGAGAAAAGTCTTTGTGGCAGGTTATACTGGGGCCTTTCAGTGCTGTTTTGTCCAGATACCAGCATTAATGGGCACTGTAGTCTGTCTGGAAGATCTTAAATCCAAGTGTTAAGAAACTACTTCTGTTACTCCCACAGAGCTCTTGACAAAAGGTCCTTTCCATTCACAAGTCCTGGGTGTGGAGCACTCAGTGGGGTCTGTTGGGGAAGATGGAGTTTAATAGGCTTGTAGCTCCTGCTGCTGCACTGAAGTTCTGTTGTAAAAAGAAAAGGAATAGTCTGTGCCTCATGGGAACAGGTGTGTTGCCTCTTGCCTGAACATGCAGCATCCTGGAGGAGAGAAATATTCCAGGGTCATATTTCCTATGACTCTGGAAATAGGAGGCAAATAGCAGGTTGTGTTTCCTGTGCAGCTTTTCAGTGTGGGTGTATTTGTACCTGGCTTCAACATGCTGGACTGTCAGCTCCATCTACTGCTGCAGCTTCAGAAGAGCCATGACAATGGTGTTACAGCTGACACAGTCTTATCAGTGGCTTTTCATTCCCAGTAGAACTCACAGTCTACTTTTTCTTTTTCCCCCTCCAGAGGAGAAAAAGAAACCTGCTAAAGTTGGTAAGTCCAAACTTTCAGCATGCTTATTCTAATTTTCATTGACGGCTCTTAAAATGATAAGCAGATGGTCGTTAGTGTTGGTAAATTGAGTGTTGGTCAGTAGTGTTGGTGTAATGATCACCAGAGTGATCAAACACTGATAGAGATTGTCCAGAGACAGTGGGATTTTCAAAACCTGACAAGATGGGGAATAACCTGAGCTAATATCGAGGTTAACCTGGTGTGGAGCAGGAGGCTAAACCAGACACGCTCCAACCTGAGTGTGTCTGTGGTGGTGTGTTAAACATGTAGGGTTTCTTTCCCAACTGGCCAAACTCCCTTTTCTTCTGTCCACACAGCACCAACCCCAGCACCAAAAACTGCAACTGCTGCTGCTGCAACTAAAGAGCTTATTGACAGCTTTCTGAAGAAATCCAGAGTGGAGCTTCTGCAGTGTAAGTCACTCAATATTACTCAAATTTACACTACTTAAAGATGAACTTTCTGCTTTTATTGCGCTGGTGTTATGTGTCCTCTGTAGTTACCTAACAGAAATACTTCTGAGGGGGGTTTGTTAGCTTAATAGGCCATCAGCTGGTTGTTACAAATGAAGGAAATTTTTGGAGGAAAAGAGGGCAGGAGTTTTCTAAATAGTTCTTTTGCCAGATGAATCAAATTTGTCTCCAGTATTTGTGTATCTTTATGAAGATAAATGAAGTTTTCTAAGTAATGGCTTTGGTTTCCTCCAAAATGATGGCATTAGGGTAGCCTAGAAATATAGTGTAATGCACTGAATTTTTTTTTAATGAAATGCAGGCTTTTATGTGAGCCCAGGATGGCTTGTTAAGATGCTATACAATATGGGTGTACCTTTTGCTGCCAGATCAAATATCCCCTTCTTTTTCCAGCATTTATTTGGGTGGTGAAGGAATCCCATGGGAATGCAGGAAGGAAGGAAACTCACCCTCCACTTGCCTGGTGTGTAACATGGAGCTGCACTTAAACCCAGTAGGTTTTACTGAGGCCCTCAGAACTGCCTGCACTGAGGAGGAGAGCAGAGTGGGAGATGAACATACATGAGAACAAGTGCTTGGGCAGGACAGGATAAATAAATAAAAGTGCTTTGCTCTTCAGTACCTTCACATGGTTCATGTCATTGCAGATACTGCTAAAATCACCCTGGATTACAACACAGCTCATAACAACGTGATGCTGTCTGACAACTACACCAGGATGTCCGTCTCAGACACCTTCATGGGTCACAACCCCCACCCTCAGCGCTTCACCGACTTCCGCCAGGTCCTGGGGTTCCAGTGCTTCAAGAAAGGGATCCACTACTGGGAGGTGGAGCTGCAGCAGAACAGCTTCTGTGGCATCGGGGTGTGCTACGGCAGCATGGCCCGGCACGGCCCCGAGAGCCGCCTGGGCAGGAACAGCAGCTCCTGGTGCATCGAGTGGCTCAACAACAAAATATCATCCTGGCACGATGACGTTGAGAAGTGCTTACCCAACACCAAGGCCACCAGGATTGGTGTGCTGCTCCACTGTGAGGGGGGCTTTGTGATCTTCATGGCGGTAGGGGAGAAGCACAACTTGATCTATAAATTCAAAGCCGAGTTCACCGAGGCCTTGTACCCTGCCTTCTGGCTGTTCTCCAGTGGCACTGTGCTCTCTCTCATTTAAAGGAAACAGTAAGGTCTCGTATCTTAGTTTAGTTCACCTAAGTACTTATATGCAGGTAATCAAACCCAAAGTCTCAAAGATTGATTGTTTGAGGCAAAAATTATTAGCTCTTTTAAGCAGTTTGGGAAATCTGCCGATTCTTTGGTCTGAAGCCTTTAGATAGTGATTTAGCAAAATGATGATGATAGTAAAAACTACAATGAAAGGTTTTGCAAAGACTTTGATTGCCCTAAAATCAAAGTCATGGTATGAACCATTATTAAATGTCTTCAGTAGCTGCTGTGGCTTCTGTGGTTGGCTGTAAAGGAGCTCCAGAATTAATGTGTTCCACAGGTAACCATAACCCCTTTGAGAAAGAAACAGGAAGAATTCCTTGACAAATTCAGGTTCCAGGCTTTGAGGGAGCTCTCAGTGTTGCCTTTTTGTCTATACACAGACTGTTCTTCATACACAGATTCTCAGTGTATGACTCCATGAGATGCTACAGAAAGAGCTACTGAAATCAGTAAGTCCAGGTCTTATGGCACAAAGTTGTAAAAGCCAATATGACAGATCTCATCAGAATGGAAATGCAGAGACTTCTAGAGTTGATGGGAAAGAAATGGTGTTAAAATCACCAGGGAATAAATGACATTGACTCTGGGAATACACCAGAGAGTCTTCAGGAAGACATCCTGCAGAGCAGTGATGTGTGTCCTGTGATAACACAGTCTGTGGGATGAAGTATTCTGTGTCATCTACTGACCCAGAACATGCTTCACATCTTCACACTGAGGGCTCTTTAGTGTTGGGGTTTTTTTTGTGTGCTGAGGAGTTCAGGGGGTGCATTTTTGGCTTGCACATGGAGCATAAATCTGCTGTTTACTTAAAGCAGGGTCTTCTGTCATAAAGCTTTTCCTTTTTGTGAGGTGGGATATTCTCTGCTGGTGTATCTTTAGTTGTTCAGGTGGTAGAAACTGGATTTCTTGTATTTTTTGGGACTCTGATTTGAGGAGTCTCAAGACGTGCACAGTACCTGGAAAATGCTGTTTCTTCTCTGCATGAAGCCTGTGGGCAGACAGGTGAGTCCTTTGAAACATGGAGGGAATTAGCAAAAAGGAGAATATACATCCATTCCTACTGGGATGGATTTTTAATTCTCCTGGCATTCTTTGCTTTGGGTTGTGGTATGTCTTCAGAAGTTCTGTGTACAGAGGAATCTGTACTTCCTTCTTACAATCTGTAGGCAATCAAGGTATTTGGATCTCAGAGTTATTGGGTCTGTATCTTGTTGATGCCTCTGGACTTACTGTGGTAGCTCCTATTTCTTGTAGCCCATGAAGAACAGGGAAGCTCACGTGAGAGACTTCCTGGACTTTGATTTGTAAAACTCCCCTTGTGGGACTTGGTGAAATAGAACACAAAGCCACTGCTGGCACTTTGGCAGGGAATTGTTAGAAGGCTTAAAAGACCCTCTGTGATACATTCCACATTAGCCAAAATGCTTTGGAGAGAGGCTTTCAGGGCTTGGTGTCTCTGTTTTCACTTGGTTTGTACTTTGTCAAGGATAGCATAAGTTTGATTTCTTCCATTTCTTTGGTCAAGATAGGATATGGAATTGATGGTGGATCTAAAAGTGCCACAGCTGTCTCTGGAGCAGTTGTACTATTTCAAGGGTCTCCACTCTCCAAAGCACAGTCAGCACTGAAACTGTCAACCTAAGCAGAACTCTTTAAAAGGTGTGGAGGGAGGATATGTCCTGCTGGGACCCAACAATGAATGACAGACTGGGTTTTCTGCCCTTCCAGTTTGTCAGCATTGAGGGACAAGAGCAGTTTCCTCTGAGAAATCCTTTATCTGCTTGGCAGTGCCACGGGGCTGCAGATCCACTTGTAGGTGCTGAAGAATACTCTGTCCCCTTGGGACGAGGATTTGTGCAGGAGAGAAGGTCCCCATTCTCTGTTGCCTCTTGATTTAAAAGGGGTGTCAGTACTGACCTCTAAGTCTTTGGGCTTCTGTAGCCACAGTCTGGAGTGACACTCAAAGTCAAGAGCAGCTTTTATTCTGGACAAGGTGGGAATTTTTGAAATGTGACATTGGTGAGTGACCAACAGTATGGAAGACATAAGGTGTCCTGGATTACGAGGCAGTGAAACAAGCCTGCCACTGTACTCCTGATCCTATTTTTTGCTTTCTTTAGTGCTATGAATGACTAGAAATCATAGAGGGAAATTCTGTTAGTTTGGAATGAAATCAGAAATATGTAATGGAATCGCTGGATTTCTGAAAACTCTTGTTTTGGTTAGCTTCAGATATCTTGGATATATTGAAACATTAGGGTGATATAATATTAAGAAAAATATTAGTTACAGCATAATAAGTGATGATTTAAAAACCTTTTCAACACAACTTAAGTGGTTGTACTTAGGCAGTAACTATCAAAGCTATACTGGTTTTAAACAAAAAAAAGGTACTTCAGTATGTGTGGTGTGTTATTCCATGTAGTTGTGTCACCCAGGTGTCCCCATCAGGGTCACCAACATGGATTTTATGCCATCTGGTCCCTGGCCTGTACCTGCTGCAGGAGCTGACTGTTGAATTGTGATAGTTTGAATTCAATAAATACTGACAGTAAACCCCAACTCTCAATGTTTTGTTCTGTGCTCAGAGTTGAAGCAAAGCAGTGAGGGAGGCAGAAGGGAAGACACAGCAGAGTACAAATAACAGGTCTTTTACTTCATGATTCCCTGAGTTATATGAGAAGTGAGTAAGAGAGGAAAGAGCTGCAGAGGCTGTGGTGTCCTCTGGGCTGTCCTAGATCTCCTTCCCCTGAGCTACACACTCATTACCAGCTGAGGACAAGGGGAACATCCTGACCAGTAAACAAAACTGGAAGCTTTTCAAGTAAACAAAAACGTGGTCATCAGCTGGAGGAAGAAGAACAACTAAGGACTCAGTGTGGGATTGCTTAAAAACCCTCAGGTGATGTCCAGCATCTGCCAGCTTAAAGTACACCCAGAAGCAGCAATGGGTGATGATTCCTAACATTACCCAGTGAAATCAAACTAGAGGGAGTGTGGTTTGCAAACTGCTGCCTCCTCACATGGCCAGTGGAAAACAGCTCAGCAGGGAGCTGTTCTGGTGGCTCAGTATGTTTAAAAATCAGCCCAAACAAAGCATCCATGAAACAAGTTCAGCATTTCCTTTTCCACTTAAAGTTCTCCAAGTCAGTTGGGCTGATGAAAGTTTTGGAGAAGAAACTCTCCGAAGAGTTCCCGGAGACTCAAACAGTATTTCTTGACAAAACAACAAAACAGCAAAAACTAGGGGAGGAAAAATCCTCATCTTCACTAACCATGATGGCCCTGGGATTAGGAGGTCAATCAGGTCTGTCAGAGCTTGGTCTCAGTTTCCAAAGCCAGACAAATTGATATTTTAAGCCCATATAAACTTGACTGTGACTACAGCCTGCGTCTTGAGCAAGTACTGAGATCCTCAAGAAGCCAGCAGGCTTATTGCTCATACAAGGTCTATTTTCTTCCTTGCTGATGACATTTCCTCTTTGTGATCACTTTTTCACAGCAAAAAGAAAAACTGACTTGGACTCCAAATTGTACTCTCCGGGAACACACATGAAAGTGTTTATCAGGATGCTCCCTATTTTAATAAAACTGTTTTTGGCTAGTGTTTAACACCCTGTATTTCTACCCCCAGTTCTCTGACTCCCTCCCATTTGTTCCCCCCTTCCCCATTCCCTCCCAATTAAGTGGCTGCTACTTCTCAAATAATCAATATGTCAGTTAAAAACATGTCACGGCGTGGCCATTGTACGACTCCCATTCAAAGTTCATGTCATTTAGACTTTCATTGGCAGCTATTTTGTCCCATTAAAAAGTTCAAGACAGCAATTTGTGAATCTTGCTCAGCCAAGTAGAACTGTGGAAAAAAAAAGGAGTCATTTCAAAAGTCAATTAATTGTGGCCTGTCAGAGAGCTCCTCATTCAGATTTTTGCAGGCCTTGTCACGGGCTCACATCTGTCAGCCCCGTGTTTCCCAGGCTGCAATCAGATGCTGTTACACGGGAAATAATGGGTTTATTCACACCATTTATTGGGCTCTATGTGGTAGACACATTTGTATATCATTTTACGGTGTAGCAATTCCATTTACATAAAATACAGGCAATTATGGGAGTCTGGCCAAAGCACTGAGGGAGGGTGGGAGGAGTCACCGTTCAAATAATGAAAGCTAATTGAAAAGAGGCAGATAATTTAGGTGAAAACACCATCATGGGCAATTCTTGATCCTAAATCAGTTCAACAGAACTTTTAGGAGTCAAGTTAGTTGTATTTTGTCTGTGCTTGTATTAAGCTCCTTAATGTCTTTCAGTGTAAGAAAAGAAAACATACTTTTTACAGCACCTATGTTCCATTTTAAAAACGAAGTAGTTCTTGGGGATTTTTTTTTTTTTCATCAAGGGTAGTTTCCTTCCCCCCCCAGCTTAGAGAGAGTTTCCACATTCGTCTGTAGAGGAAAAGAAATCAAGTAGATACTGGGGAGGAGAAAAATATCTGGAGAAAAAGCACATAGCATGTAGGCAGAGCAAAACATGTTAGAATTTTGTAATCCTGGGCACAAGGCGCTTTCTAACCCCCCAAAAAGACAATCTTTGCAAAATTCAGAGTTATTTTGTGACACAATGACAATTTGAAGAAGGAGAAACTAATGTGGGTTAAAAGAGTTCACAGGGCTCACAGAGCCATTATCCTCAGGGAATTCTCCAGCTCCCAGTTTGGGTGGAATTGTCAGCTTTAGTCCTGGGTTTTAACTCTGCTCCAGATTCAGTATCTGAAAACTGGGCTGAAATTGTTCAACTCTCAGTGTCTCTCCTGTCAGTTGAGCTCAAACTCGCAGGGATTGGCTCCTCTTTCTCTGGCAGCTCGATAAACAAACATGAAATCCTTGAAGCGAGGGGCACAGCCCAGCCAGGCTTCCCCAAAGTGTTCATTCCCAGTGAAGAGGAAATCTCCACCTCCCTTCTTCACCTTGCACTGCAGCAGGGTTCGGATCGGGCCCCTCCACTCCCCACTCCCTTCATCCTGCTGGAAAATCCTGTTCTTCTGCCTGTAGACTCTCTGGACGCTGACATCCACCTGGGACATGTGGTTCTCCGAGTCGTGGGAGACATTTTGGATGGATCCCTTCACCACTGGATGTGAGGAAGACAGGATTTGGTTATGGAGCAGCAGGGAAGCAGCTCAGGTACCAGGAGCTCACTGAATGAAATAACTGGAGTCAGGAGTGGTGCAGTTTTTGCACCTCCTACCTACACGTGGACACATTTCTGAGCTTATATTGCATCCTTTGCCCAGAGGATCCCTACACAGACAGTGCTGTGTCCTTGGAATTGTGCTTTATGACTACTCAAACCAGCTACATTGAGGACAAGGCGTCTATCTTGCTTGATAATGCAAAGTAGTGAAGGATTAAAAAGCACATGAAAAGAGGTCGGTTCAGGGATTCATCTTTTCCAGTCTGTGTTCCAAGACAATGACTATCATAGACTGCCTTCCTTACTGACTCCAGGGGACTCTGGAGCTTTTCCTTTCACAGCACTAACAGAGGTTAATCCAAGAAAAATCAGAATATGATTTGGTTGGAGGAAATGAGAGCTTTTTAATTTTTTTTTTTTTTCATTTAAATGTTTGGTGGTTTTTTCCACTCAAAAGAAAATGTCATCCATCCTCCAAAAGACACTTTGGGAGATGATGAACAACATTCAGAACTCCTAAAGTGACTTTATTTGAAGCCTTATTTCAAAAATCACATAGCATACATGTACCTTCTTCTCCCAGAAGTATCCTAGCTGGAAGGGAAGCATAAGAAGCCACAGTCTCTGACTGAAAGCATCCTTTGCATCAACCACATGGAGAATAAAACATTCCATCTGACAGGTGTTTGCTGTCCTGAATCCATCTTTCTCAATGTCACTGCCCCCATTTTTCACAGCAATCAATTATGCTTCTTCTAATTAAGTTAGTTTCAATCCCACATCCACAGAAGGCTCAGAAACAGGCCACCATTTGAGCCACGAGCTCTTCAGCAAATGAGAGGTTTGCAAAGCAACAGGTACATCACCACCCTCCTGCCACAGAACTCACTTGTTTGGGTACAGAAAACTCAACAACCCAAGATGTAGAATAAACTTATTTCCGAAGCCTCCAAGAACTTCCTCATTTAATTAGATTTTCCAAGGGAATGCAGAATTTTGTGTAACAGATGTCTCTGCTCTCTGTCTCCCTCTTTGTGTGATCACTTTTAATCAGATGCAGTCAAGTCTATTGACAAGCTATAATGCACTTGTTCCTGGTGCTCCAAGTTGCTCCTGCACCGCTCAGGGCCCAGTGACTGAAGACCCCCATCCCAAGGGTGACTATAAAGCCCCCATTCACTCCCAGTGTCATTTACACTTTCATTAGCAGCTATTTTCTCTAATCAAAAAAGTTGATGATAGCGATTTGTGGGCTGGGGGCAAGGAAGTCAGGCCATAAATAGAGTCAGTTCAAAGGGCTATTTCTTCTGGTCTGCTGCTGCTGTGAGTGTAAGTGCCCCCATTGTGTGCCTGGGCCTCCACATCTGTCAGTCTCTGGTTGTTCCGAGGGAGAGCACCCGCATGGGAACCAGGGACTTCATCAAGGAAAAACAACGGGCTGGATTGCACCGATTAATTTAGAAGAAGAATAAAAATTACCAGCTAAGGAGCACTCCAAGGGAAGCCTGCTCTGCACTGGATTTGTATTTGCACAGTGATGTTGGCGTCTGGTTTTATCAGCTTTGTAGTGTGGCCACCCCGGGTAGGGAAGCAGTGATTTGGTGGGGTTTTATAAACATTGAACGGAATTTGTAGTTTTATTTTCACGTAGGTGCATTTACAGCAATGGAATTGTGGCCACGTGGAGAGGCAGCTCTACAGCTTTAGCTGTTTGACCCAGTCGAAGAGGTGCAAATGTGAGTGTGGAAAAACAGGGGAATAAAATGGGCAAACCACTCAGAAGAAAAAAAAAATCCTATTGCACTATCAAATAGAGAAAAAGGAAAAAACTTTTAAGGTATCATCAAATTAGTATTTCTTATTATTTCTTTTCTTAAGGACTATAATTGATCTGTTTTCTCATAAGGCATGAAACCTAACCAGGACATCACTGAAGGAAGTTTAAACCACCTGAAGTCTTTAACTAAGCTACAAACAACTCACTGCCTCTGCAGAAAAAGAAGCGTGTGAATTGTGAGGGAAGAGAGAGGGCATATTTGTATGAGCTAAAAAGAACCATGGACAAAGGGAATAAAAATGACCACACCAAGCATGTACAACATGTGTGTGTGAGTGTCTACACCTAAGAGCCAGCAGCTCACACCTGTGAGAATTACTCACAGTTCAGTTTTAGATCTTAACTTTCTGCTTGCAGGAAACAAGCCAGTTTCTCCCTTCTAGGTTTCACTTCCCCCCCCCATTCAGATTCTTTTTCACACAGTTATTTTCTTTCCCAGATCAGAGAGCACAGTCATGGCATTATTTGAAGAAAAGTAGCAAATAAATCCAAATAATCCAAAGGCAGAATGACTCTCCTTTAGTCAGCTTACCGAAATCACTGCTGCAAATGGCCATAAGAAGTTCCACGTTGTCACAAGGACGGCACATAGCTAGAAAAAAACCCAGACCAGTTAGTTATTTATAACACTATAATATATATACTTTATTATATAATAATATGTACGTTTGATAATATATGGTGAATTAGGAAAGGAAATGAGGCAGAACTACCAGGTTAGAGAGAATCACGATCAGATGCAAACCAAATCTCTTGTTATGCAAATACAGCCACAGCAAAGAAATAAGCACAGGGGATGTTCTCAGGGATGGCACCGCCAGGCAGAAGGACCCCCCTTGCAGCGACAAACCCCTCCACCCAAAACAGCTTCTGTCACAAGGGACGCACCGGTGAATACCAGATGTTATCCTGGATCTGCCCTGGCAGCGGAGCCCCGGGGCTGCCCCCGCTCTTACCTTCCACCAGGGCCATCTTTTTGAAGTCGGGGCCGGCCGTGCTCTGGTTGCTCAGCAGCTCGTACTGGAAGCTGGCGGTGCGGCGGCTGATGTCCCTCTGCGGGCTGGCCTGCAGGAACAGGGCCACTCGCTGCGGCCTGTGGGCGCTGAAGCAGGACACGTGGTGGGGCCGAGCCCCTTCGGCCTCGCTCAGCACCAGGTGCAGCTGCCCGGCGCGCTCCACGTAGATGTTGGCACCCTGGAAGTCGCTGGCGGGCTTGATGCAGACGGTGGTGTGCTGGGCACTGGACAGGTTGGGCTCCAGGACCACTCGCAGGGCTCGTGCCGGGTACATCCACTCCAGGGAGCCCTCGGTGCAGCGCAGATGGACCTGCTCCACGGCGCGGGAACGGGGCTCCCGGCTCAAACCGCTGCCAGGGCAACACCATTGCTCCATCACTAATGGTGCCCACAGCACAGCCAAAATATCCCGGAAAACACTACCACACTCTGCCCAGAGAGACAAACCCTACTGCCAACCGACTCGCTCCTAATGACTCTCAAATTGGCTTCCTCCAGCTGGGCTGCTCCCCTTCCTCCCTTCCCTCGGGTCACAGCTGCAGCACCGTGAGGGAGGGATGGGGAGACAGGGATTGCTCACACCTGGGGCTGCACCTGAGGGTACGGGAAGGAGCTCAGCCCCTTTTGCCTGCCTGCAAATCCATGCTTGGATGCCTGCAGCATGCAGGGAAATGCCAGAGGGCAACTTCTCTCTGCTAAACAGCTCCAAACCTTTCCGTGTGGCAGGACTGGCCAGTGCTCGGATGTCCGGAAAATCCCACCGGTGAGCGGGTGGGGGTGAGAGCCGCTGACCCGCAGCGGGAGCTGCACAACGAGCACTGACGTTACGCCTGAAAAAATTTGGTTTAAAGACCTAGATTTCCAAAATAATTTCTAATATTTCCCGTAAAAATTAATCAAAGGAAATGCTTTCGATGGAAAAGCGTCGTGCTGGCCCTGCTCCCGAGCTCTCGCTTTCAGAACAGTTACTTTTGTTGAAGTCAGCTTACGAGGATCAAATCCGCAAGAGCGGAATTAATTAAAGAAAAAGTAAAACAGCCAACAAAACGTCGAGGGAAAGGATGTAACATCTGAGAATACTGAGAATATTTGTCGCCGGTTTCCCGGTCAGCGACCGAAGCAAACGCGCCAGCGCCGCGCCCGCGGGTGCTGGAACGGGCCGTTCCCTCCCCCGGAGCCCCCGGATCGCGGGGCGGGTCCGCCCGGTGCCCGCAGCCCCTCGCAGCCCCGGTACCCCCGTACCTGCCCCTCCAGCTGCAGCGATCGGCGGTGCCCGGCCGCGACCCGCCCGCCCCGAGCAACAGCAGCAGCCGCAGCAGGGCCGGGAGCCCGGGCGAGCCCCGCACCGTGGCCATGGGCTGCCGGCAGCGCCCGGGCGCGGGCCGGGCTATAAGGGCGGCGGGAGGGAAGGGGGTGGGCTGGGGGTGTCGGCCGAGCCCGTCACCGACCCCCTTCCCCCCGCCCCGCCAGCTCGGGGAGAGCCCCCCAGCACAGGCGGGGGACACCCCGCCATCACCCTTCATCCCATCATCATCCTCTCTCCATCCCCCGGGCCGGGCAGCCCCCTTTGTCTTTGAAATATTTAGAAGTGATTAATAACAGTTTCTCGTCGCCGCGTAGGGACAAACAAAAATCGTGTCAACATAATCAAAGCGAACTTTTGAGTGAGTGATGGAAATTCAATAGTTTTAACTTTTGCTTTCATGATTATCTTTCGGGGTCCGTGCACAAGAAAGCTCCGGGGCCCACGATTATCATGCTAAAAGCCGGGCTGTGCCTGCCAATAATTAGATTTCTATATGCATTGCCCTTTCCATATTTTCAATGAACGACATGGGGAGCTGCTCTTTTGCAGGTCTGGGAGAGCGAGGTTCTTTCAAGCAGCTCCTAAGCGTGGAATCGGGATTTCGCGGCCAGGCGGGGACAATGGCCCTCGGCACGGCTGGGTGGCACATCCCCAGATCCGCGGGGCTTTGTTCCCGCTCAGCGCCGCAGCGCCCGCGGTCACCGGGACCCTCCGGCCATCTGTTACCTTGCGGTTACCAGCGTGTTCTCACATGGCCCACAGATGCACAGGGGAAGAGGCAGAGTTTGCCCGCTGCCTTTCTGCAACGAGGGATTTTCCTGAAGAGGAAAACGGATTTGTCAGAGATACCCTGTTAGACCCTCAGCTGTCTAACATCGGACTCCTTGAATCGTACTTGAACCCACACACCACCACTTTTCTGTTCATTCACCAAATACTTTACATTTTTACTTTTATTATAAAGAAAGAATTTCGGCCTTGACTTGCTCTTTGCTAAGGACCCCTGTTCTTCCCCACACGTACCTGTGCTGTGACTCTTCACACAACCTTGGGCTAAAGTGTGGCTCAAGCTGGTGCTGTGCACGGCTCACTCCAGCAGTTCTAAAAACATTTAAAATGCATTAAACCTCGATGTTTATATACATTAGTGCCAGTGATCCTGAAAGCTCTGTGAAACGACTGTCTTACCCATCTAAGAAAAAAAAACAACTGCTGAATATCTATTCTCTGACCCCATCTTGAATGGAAAACAACACACAAATACTCTTTAAAAGGTTTGATCGTGGCATAATACAGGAGCTGAGAGGCCAGAGCCCTTCTCTCTTTTGTGCAAATGAGACCGGGGAACAGAGTGGACTTGGAGAGGGAACTGACACTATGATAAAGTGGCCCCACAGGAGGATTTATTCACTTCCAAAAGCCCAAACTAACCCATCTGCTGCCATCAGGAGAAAGCATTGAGCCACTTGATCCCTGAACTTCTTCCAGCAGCAGCATTTCCCCTTTCTGGGGAAAGCCTGGTGGGTTTTCCTGCCTTACTCTCAGCAGCCTCCCCACCCATCTCCAGCTTCTATTACCACCACATGACACCAAAAATCTCCTGGTACAACTCTTACTTGAAATTGCTCATTACAGGTAGGACACCTGTAGGACTTTTCCCCCTTAGATTAAATAAAGAGTGGGCAGGGACACAAGCTGGTTTTAAGATCCCAAATCACTGACAACAAAGGTGAGAAGGAACAATCTGGACATTTCACCTCCCTGTTGAAGGCTGGGGGACTACACCGCTTTAATCACATCTATTCTAAAGCCACACAAACTCACCTTCTCCCCAGGGGTGAAGGATGAACCAGCAGCTGCTGAGACAAATCTCTGCATGTTACCAGTGTTAGATTTACTTCCAGATGACATTACCAAGCTGTCTAGAATTTTTCCCATGCAGGAAACACAGCCATGGAGTTCAACAAAATGCAACTTTGTTTTTAAAATCCCTGCTCTCATCCTGCTGCAGCCCTCGCAAAGCCAGGCAGTCACGGGGGTTGTCACAGAGCTGAAAAATCATACTTGCTTTTATGCATAGTGAGGAGTAAAAGAATCCGAGTTTAAATACTTTAATCCACACACTTAAATCTACAGAGAAATACAGTACAAACAACAAGACAACAAAAAGATGCAACAGGAAATTCAGTAACAGAGTCAGTGCTGTGAGAAACCTGTATTTACAAACTTCTATGACAAATATGGAGCAGATGTTTCTCAAAAGAGCCTTCTGGGAGGGTAAGTCACAGAGACAGGCCAAGGTACAACTCACTGAGGTTTTCAGTCTCCCTTGTGTTAATGTGGAGTAACCACAGAATGGGGAGTTCTGTGGCTTTGCTGAAGCTGCAGCTTCTCACAGACAGAACCTGACCCAAGCTCTCAAACCACACATCAGCCCGTGTCAGGACTGGAGCACGTCACAAATGTTTCTGAGACACAATCACAGTCGCTGTGCCTCTGCAGCAAATAAAGAACAGCCCTCCCAGCTTTTATGACAAAGACTTTACAGCAATACTTCCTCATCCTCCCATTTCAGCCTGCCTCCTTTTAAAAACCAAAGGAAAACCAGTCTGGGATTTGAAAACGTCACTTGATGTCAAGGCAAAATTGGAAAATTTTGATTTAAATGTTTATTTTGGAGATTCAAGATTTTGGTGGCTGGTTCTTTCCTTGCAAGTAAGATCTCACATACTGTACAGCTGTCAGCAGTGGGGTTTGCTCTGAGTTTCTGTTCTCTGAGGAGAGAGGCAGGAACGATGCAGACGGTATCTGCTGATGTTTGAGCACTAAATACAGATCTCACACTGCACCATAAGGATACAACTGATCTGTCAAGAGTCCACTGATCACTCCTCCCTTACTGCTCGGTGGGAAACAAAAAAATACTGAATCCCAAATGTTACTTTTATCAGATGAAAAAATCTAAGATATTATAAATTCTATTTTTTGACCTATTGCACTTTAAGCTCATATTTTTCCTATTTAGTGCAATGTCAGAATATATGGATAAACACGTTCAATGCAAATCCCAAGTTGCAGCATCACAGTATGTGAAGCTAAAGAATAACTTTTTTTTTAACTGCTAACATGCTGGTATTTTCTTGTAAGTAGTTATTACTAATTTAAAGTTACAGCTCTTAAAAGCAACATTTTTACAGTATTCTGATCACTGATTACTAAACAACTGCTATACATATTTGAAGTTACAAGCTACAAAAATAAAAATCCATTCTGTTTAACTATAAAAATCCTAGAAAGAGAAGATGGCTGGAGGTACTTGAAGGATTACAGCAGTTGGTAGCAGACAAAATGGCTTTTGAGGGGTGTAAACCTTTAAGTTACAGAATGCAATAAACTCACAATATAAGTTCCCACTTAATCTTAAAAAGAAAATTATCTTTTATGCTGAAATCTACAAACAAGTTGCAAATTAAATGATGCAAAAAATTAATTACATACAGCAGTAGGGGTACAGAGGAAACAGGGCAGCATTAACAAAGTACAATTTTGAATACATTCATACTGTGAAGGGCCAGATCCTCAGCTAAGAAAAGTCTGCACAACATCACTAGGTTTAGTCAAGGCATGTGGCTTTATCCAGCTGGAATTATCTCCCTGAGATGCCCAAAACCTGAATTGAATATTCAGCACTCTTAGCAAGAAAACAAAATTGTGATCATGTCGTGCCTTTAGAACTGTGGCCTCAACAAGAGAGAACATGTAAATTCTCTCAATATGTTTAATTACCAATGAACAAGTGGTCTCTGCTGTCTTGTCCCTGTGTTCAAGCAGCAGCTCTGATTTCTCAGAAAAAAAGGAATTTTTTAATTAAGTAGTTCACATTCAACAGAATCAGTTATGTACTGGTATTTTTAATCCTAATCTACTCCTAACTGAATATTCAATTTTTTCTTTTCCAAAAGGAAGAAAACTGCTAGTAGTCTGAAAGGATTTAGAACACATGCAAAGATTCCTAAATGACCTACCCTTAGACTAACTGGATTCCAGTGCTGCTCTACCAAAAGCATTTGTTGCCAAGTAAAAAAAGAGTAACTACTATAACACTGGTACCATTGTGCTGCTCGCAGCTAAAGGTGCAGTGCTTTAGGCTTTTATTTAGCCAGTCAGATACAATAACACACTATAAAAGCTCTGAGCTTCAGTGCAACATAAGACAGAACCAGAAGGAAGGGGCCAAACTGAAACCAAACCCTTTAACACTCAGTTCTCAGCACGTGGAGAACGAGGAGGTTCCTCCCCAGCAGCAAGGAGCAAAAACTGTCCTTTCAGAACAGGCCAGGGAGTCTGGGATCCTCCGGAGTCCTGACACCTCCCAGGGGTGATGGTGACTGGAAAAGCCAAGCAGGTGGGTCACTGGGCTAACAACAGCTGTGTGGAGCCTTTCCAACTTCCTTTGCTGACAGGCTGGCTGGCATGAGCATAAATTGGACAGCAGCTCACTATCCTGGCTTCAGCAGAGCTTCTGAGACTGTCCCAAATGACGTTTATGGCTGAAACTGAGCCAGCACAAAATGAGTAATTAAATGACTGAGGGATAGAAGTGCTTACGGAGTAGTTGTAAACACCAGCAAGAGGGGGAATAAATTCTCCATCTGAATCAGCTGAGGTTGCAAAGCATAAACCTTTACCTCACTCTTGCTGTAAGCACTGCCTCAAGATTATTGTCTCCAAGTGTGTTCAAACATGATAACATGTTTTTTCCAACCAGGACGAACTCTAGTCTGTTTTCTGACTGCAAGTACTTAACACTTCTAACTAAAGACAGTGGTGTTTCAAGTTCCTCAGTGACCCAAAAAAGCAAGTCCTGGGGGGAAAAAAACCATATGGAGAAACACTGGAAGTGAACATATAAAAAAGTATCAAATGCATAAATTATGCTACAGTTTTTACATTATAGACATGAAATGCAATTCGTAACAGTGCTGAGAAAAATGTTCAGATTTGGACAGAATCCCAAATTAATTTGAAACCAATATATTACTATTGCAGGGAAAGAAAACACAAGACTGTGTTCTTTAATAACTGTAAAAATTCCAGAATGCTGTTAAAGGTATGCTCTAAATACTACTCTGACCTGCTTTAAATACCAGGAACAACAGACATACCAAAAAACCCCCAAAGCATAAATGAATGCCATTTACCTCAGCTGTTTTTGAAGACTAAAAATGCAAGTTTGGACTTTTTACGAAGTCCAGACGTGAAGAAAGATCCAGCTGGCATTTGAAACAGTTTAACCCTGCTATGAATCGCTGAAGTGAAAACATAAAGTCAAACAAAGCCTATGACAGGAGGTTCTGTGCACATGGAAACACCCACCACATCCTCTCAACACGTGAAAACAAGCCCGGTGTGAGCCAGGCAGGGAGCTGACCCACAGAAAGGCTTCCCATGCAAACTTAAGGTTTTTGTATTTCATGTCACAGGACTGAGAAACCACAGTAAAGAAAGTTATCAGACTAAACTTCAGTTAAGCTAATAAATGCAGCAATAAGACTTAAACATTGTGAATTCGCTTTTAAGTGCTTTACCACTGATGTTATTGTTTGCTCTGTACATTTTATACAAAGGTATGATGTATGAAGACTGACAGAAAAAACAATTCATTATTTGTCTTTTTGAAACATTGCTTTCACTATTTTTCCAATGTTAATGATTAACAAGATAAGGGAAAATTCTTCCATGCAGAACAGGAGCTCCAGCTGCAGAGTCCCCTCTCCCAGACAGAGAGAGGCTCTCTCTGTGTGGTTTTCAGGATTCCTTGTAGCTGTTTGAACTGGTACTTTATGCACTGCAACATTAAAAAGCATGGAACAGTTTACAGTCACAGGGCACAGGTATCAGGCAGCTACAGCTCTGTTACAAACCAGCCAAGAGGATTCGTGCTGTGTTAGACTCTGGGAGCCCACTGCTGACACCGACCATCTGCAGTGGGACTGAAACTTAAAACAGCTCCACCAAGGGAACTGAAAACAGGCGTTAACCCAATTGGCAACACAGAGGGAAGGAGGATACACTGAAACCAAAGGACAGTTGGAAGCAGCAAGACTTCCCAAGAGATGCCAGTGCTAACAATGTGTGTCTCACAAGAACATTTTGTGTCACGGTGTGACAGCTACGGAGTTACAATGGAAGGGTGAGCCCATGTCCCACTGGGAACTGGACATTTCAACCTTAAAGAACCATCAATACAATTTCACAAGAGGCTTCCTCGTGCTCACCATGGCTACATTCGCTGCCATCACCATCTGAGACACAAACTTCACCTCCACAAACGCTGCCATTTACCAGGGGGTTTTGCCAAACAAGCACCCAATGAGATGCTACTTTCACTTGGTTTCTCCAATAGGAATGATGGGTTTACATTTCCCAGAGGGTTTCTGGACTCCCAGGGAGCTGCAGTAAGTGGGAGGATGCACAAACACCCACTGGGGCAGAGAAACCAACTCACTGCTCACCTACAGCAACACAAGGAGCCTTCAAAGCCTGGGCATCACTTATTCTCTTTTAGATGTCAGGAGCCCAAAGACTGAAGTTTTTGAACAGTTAAAAGTTCTTAGGCTATAAACCAATTTGAATCAATTTGATCACCTCATCAACTTCAGGTAACTCTTTAAACTGCATCATGAATAGTTTAAAGTAGCCAGTGGTGTCATTTCTCTTGAGCAAAAACTGCCTTTCAGAGCACACCCCCTGCTTTTCCAGAGACTTGTCATTTGTTTGTAAACAACAGTTACAAAAGAACCAGAGCACAGAACTTAAATATTTTTAGGATGCTGATGGTAACAAGTTATAAAAAAAAATAAAATAACTTAACTGGTAAGATTTTTGGTAATACAAAATGAACCTCGTAACTGAAAAAAAAGAAAGGTAGTGGA